TTTTTTTTTTTTTTCTTTTTGCAAAAATGTGATGTTCTGCCTTGATAAGATTAAACTTCAAGAGCCTTAAAAGCCTGGCTGAGATGTCGAAATTTAAGGGAACGACGCCACTGACTGCTTAAAAATATTAAGCCGGAATGAAACGCAACTCTAATGCCTGGCATTGACAAGGTGGCTTTCTCACCTCTGTCTTGATTTGAAGGCAGCCGAATTCCCATTTTACAGAGAAGGAAGCTGAAGCTCCTGGGTGAAGTTAACTTGCCTAGGGGCAGCCTAGCCAGGACTTTGAGAGGGCTGGGGGTTGAGCTTAGCTTTGAAATCCTGAAGTCAAACCAGTTTAGCTAGTGTGGTGTCATTTGATGGATATGTAAACTACCTGCTACTGTCACCCTTCTAATAACAGTATACCTCAAACCGAGCAAATACAAACACCCTTTATCTCAGTGCATATCAGTAACTAGTCCCGGTGCTAGGCTGGGCTGTGGGAGAGGCCTGTTTGTGTATTTGTGTTCTGAGGAAAGGCTGCCTATAATTTGGCTTGGCCAACGATTAGGGTTGACTTGGCACGTATAATGGAGCAGGCAGGCCGGTTGTTCTTTTTAACAATTGGTGTTCATGAAGTCTCAGAAGGCTGTTGACTCATTCTAGCCTTTGGTGACCATGACTTGAATGGATTTTCTGCTCTAAATTAACAGTCGTTTACAAGGTTTCAGTTTTGCTCTTTAAGGAGGCAGGACCCAGGGCAGGTGAGAAGGGCAGGTGACCCTGGAAAGTAGGCAGATTCCTACCCACCCAAGTGGCTTCCTGGAGGGAGCCCCAGTGCTGGGTGAAGGGAAGCCGGAAAGGGGCCTGAGTTTATCCAGCAATGTGGGAAGCCAGCTTGTGGCTTCCTGAGGGATTAGTTAGTCCCTTAGGAAGGCACATGAAGGCTACCATGTTTTTACTTCTTGACACACAGGAATAATAAACAGACAGGACTTTATATGTAAAGATATTTCTGCTTGGGAAAATAGAATAGAGACAGGTTCTGCGACTAGAGCTGGGCAGATCCGACTCGTCCTGAAAGAATGCTTGAAATGAAACTGGGGTCCCAGGTGTTTCAAGGACCTTGGGGTGTATGCAGGGTGCCACTTCCTCCTTTTCTCCACCCCCTCTTAAAATTTGTTTTTTTCTCAATGCTTAATATCTTGGGTGTGTTTAAAGAGTAATTGCACCCAGGTTTAAAATGTATAGCAGCAGTTATTGTAAGAGCTTGGTAATTAAGGTGTAATGTCTTGTTGCATGTTGAGGTCTGTATGGGTGGTGTTCCACATGTCTGTGAGTGGATGGTGCTTTGGCACCAAGAATCCACCTTGGCTGGCAGAAGGTCTGTTCTCTGAGTCCTGGGGATGCTGTGAACGCAGGAAGAGTTAAATATCTTAATGCATTTGGTGGTGGGGTTTATATCAAGAGCAGCTGTGTGCATCTGGGATTTCTGGCCGTTCGGCAGCAAACAAGGTTCTTAGGGGGAGAATGCCTGGGGCTTGGATACATTGTCATCCTCTCAGCTGCCAGTGGTGGATACAGCGATTCTTTGCCCCCTTTTTATAGGTGAGGAAACTGAGGCTTCAGGGAGGCCAGGAAGGAGGAGCTGGGACTCAAATCCAGGCCTCTGCCTTCCTCATTGGGCACTTTACCTTGCTTGCCACTCACCTTTGCCCTCCAGCCTCAGTTCCCAGCATGAACATGTGTGCTTCTGAATGCAGTGGTTTTGCAGGCTTATGGCCGTCTCTGAGTTGGGTGAAATCACCCTGTGGCTATGGAGGAACAAAGAGGCAAAGAGGTGAAGAAATCCTGTGCTGTGAAATGCAACCCTGACCTAATGGGGCTGGCCACTCCCTAGGTTTGCAAGGGTTCTGTAGAAGAAAGCCCTGCCACTAATTGTAGTGTGGGTCTTGGGTGCATTTGGCGAATGGTGGGTAGGCCTGAGCAAACAAGTTTATCAGCTGACCTGTTTAGCGGTTGACTGGTGTTTTATCTGCACACACAATCAAGCAACTGGAGTGCTTGAATTATTCATGCAGTGTCCTGCCCTCTAGACTTGACTGTTCGTGTGATTACATCTGCCTGGAACAAACAGGCTGGATTCTTCATCTTTAAGCTAGGGGTGGGGGTGGGGACTGTCTGTACTTTTATATAATAGATGATCTACAGAGCTAGCACCTTGGGAAGTGTGGCAGTCCTCAGCCTGCGCGTGCACACGCACTCCACCATCACCACCACGTATTTTTTTTAAAAGCTTGCCTTTGCTGGCTCTATGGGAAATGCCAATTAGCTGGGAACCTCAAGTCCTGCCAGATGGGCCCGGGTATTGACAGAGGGCAGCTGATGAGGTGCGGCCAGCCCATTTTTATTTTACTGAGAGGTTAAACTCATGTGGCTGGCTCCTTTTCTGGCTGTTTCTCTGTCTCCCTCTCGCTTTTTCCAAGCTGTCAAAATCCCCGAGAAGTAATAAATGGTTTCTCCTCCTACTCTTTTGCCTCCCTCCCTAATTACGGTAAAGCAAAGATTACAGAATCACAGGCCTGGCCCGGGACTTCAAGAGGTCACCCACCTCTTCCAAGCCCCCTGCTTTCAGGCGGAGCATCAAGCATCTTCAGTGAGGCTGGGGAGGCAGCGGCGACTGACCGGCTCATCAGTTGCCATCTTGTTTGTGCAGAGGCTTTCCAGTGTCAGCCACAAATAACAAAGCCAGCTTAGAACCAGGGGCCACAGAGCCCCTGCCATGCATTGGATTTGAGGCACTGGCGCTCTGCGAAGCTGGGTCAGGCAGCCTTTTTGCCCACTGTTGGTGAGCACTGATGTTTTTGAAAGTGGACTTGAGCCATTTTGATTTCAGGGCAGTGCCGTGCCAACACAATACAGTCACCTTTTTTGTAAACTGAACAACCTTTCCTGTAAGTTTCTCTTTGAATCCTGGAACTGGAAGAGCCCTTTGGCTTCTCCTGCAAACCTTTCAAGTTACAGATGAGGAAACGGAGGCCTGGAGAAGGGAAGCTGGTGTCTCCAGTGCTGCTTCCCTTCCAACGCAGGACTCTTTTCTGCAAGACTCAAGAAATGAAGAGCGCTCCTTTTTTTAATGTACTCTGTGTCTTTAATTACTATTGCCTTTCTCTGCCTTATGATCCAAACAGGCTGAGGCTACAAACCTGGCCCCACCAAAGTCCAAAGTGCCCCATTTGGGTTGTATAATCATATCGCTGAACGCTTCTTGTCCACAGTCCTGTTCTGAATTGCCAGCTATTTGCACAACTAATGATTTGATGTGTGTAATAATAATCCATAATGCATAACTAGCAATCCCAGAGGGAAGATTCACACACAGGGAAAGGTGGTGCGACCTGTGAACTTTTTACCCCAGCCATGGGGGGCCATAAACACAGGGCTGAGGTGGGAAATGGAAAATCCCCATTTGTCCCTCCTCTCCCCTCCCCTCTCTGGATCTTCTCATCTACGTGATAAGAGGCTTGGCTGGAAGATCCTGAGACACCAGTTCTGGGACCGCAGTGAAGGTGCAAGGCCCTCGGTGACCAGAGGGAGTCACCAGGCGGTGAGCCTACAAAAGACTCAGCCAAGAAGCTGAACCTATTTTGGTAGGAGAATGTGGGCCCACTTGCAAAGCAGAAGGGGTCATAGGTCCTTCCACTAGGGCAGTGCCTATTTGTGTGGCATCTGAGTTGAGCTGTAGAGTTCTTTTTTTGTTTGTTTTTGCCAGAGTGCTGGCATCCAAGAACCCACCTATACCCTGCTATCCATCTGACTTTTCCTGCCATATTGATCGTCCCTGGAACAGACTGTAATCACATGAGTCCTCTCACCGAGCGGGTGCCTGCCTTGCTCAGCTTTGGGGTGCATGTGATTACAGTCCATGCTCCCAGCACACTGTCTAGCCAAAGGGAGTCTGCCCCACCCCTGAAGACTGACTTTGGACCCCTTTTCTCTAGTCGCCAGTGGGAGTGGTACAGAGTGGGGGTTTCAGTGCTTTTGGGGTCTTTTCCTTCTTGTACATTTGTCATTGAAATGACCCTGGGAAATGAGCAAATGGCCCCTTGTCTTGTGTTTACAGATAGATCAAGGGGTGGGAACCTGGCTCCTAATTCAGAACTCATTCTCTGAACTCTCCTGGACCAGGGGCCCATGGCAGGCAGAGTCCTTCCTCTACTTAAACTCCTTCCCACAGCGGAGGAAGGGTCTAGGCTTTGCTTCCATTTTATTGAAGGAGTGAGGCAGTCAAGTAATAAATCTCCTTTTGCTCTCTGCATAGGAGGATGTCGTTCTATCAAAATACTGGGACACCAGGGCAAAAAGGTGACAAAGACCTAATCTCAGCAGTGTTTTCCCCTGTGACCTGGCGCTCATTCCTCATCTCATTTTTGTAGGAAGGAAGGAAGCCCCTCTGCTGAGGTCTCTGTAGCACTTTAGTACGTAATAGGTGCTCAGTAAACATCTTGGTTTTTCTTGAAAATTGACTCAGGTTGTCTGAGCGTAGAGCTCCGATTCCCTGAGCCCTGTGAATAGGAAGCGGGGGTTTTAGTTGTGGGCTGGCCGCCTG